GTTTTTTTTTTTTTCTTTTAAAGGTCAGAAAATGTTTCATTTTCTTTCAAAATTAGAATAAACTCAACAAAATGTTTACTGGTCACCTTACAAGAGACTTATGGAAAGCTGGAGGTGTTCCGGTGTTACAGATGTCACAACTGTATGTCTCTGCATTGAGGACTTCCCTGTTCCAGGCAATGTGCTGGCACTAGTTGTGTAGCTGTGAAGACAAGTTCCTTACCCTAATAGATCACATTGAAGGGGGAGGGCAAAACAATAAATAATAGTATCTCTTTATTCATAATTACAGTGAATTTTTTAAAATGCATGGCAAAGAGAGTGGCTCTTGGGGAGGGAGTGAAGAAAGAGGCACTGCTGTGGACTTGGGATGAGGGAAGATGTCACGGAGAAGTTCATGTCTGAGCCAAAGCCTGGATGATAGAAATGGGGCAGGCTTACCATCTCAGGGAATAACATTCTAGGCATAGGTAACAGGTAATGCAAAGACTCTAACACAGAAATGTGCTTGGCATTTTCAAAGCCCAGGAACAAAAGGGCAAGTTCACGAAATGAAGTCAGAGATCTAACAGAAGCCAGATCAACAAAGGTCTTGAAAGCCTTAGGAAAGAGTTTTTATTTTAGTCTCAGTGCACTTTTAAAACCACTGGAAGGTTTTAAACCAGAGAGCAGTAAGATTTAATTAACATGTTTTAAAGATAATTTAAAGAGAAAGGGGTAGAAATGAGACATTAGGTCAGAAACTTGCTGTTGTCCAGTCTAGAGACATGGGTTGAACTACAATGGCTGCATTAGAGACGATTTAAAAAAAAATGGAAAGATGCATTTAGTTGGCAGAATAACTACAAGTCTTACTGTTGAATCAGAGATTTACAAAAAGGGAACAGGGTGTCATGAAAGACTCTGAAATTTCTGAACAATTGGCCTGACGATGGTGCCGATAACTGAAACAGAAGACAGGGAGGAAGGGGGTTTGGGGAGAAAGAAGATTTGTGCTGAATTTGATATACCACTAGACATTCAGGTAGAGATAACAGTTCGACCTGGATATATGAGTCCAACATTTGGGAAAGAGAAGAGGACCAGAAGTACATTTGCAAATCATCACTGTAGAGAAGGCATTTCAAGTAAGATTAGAGGAGACCTCTAAAGAGAGAGGGTTTAAGGCATTCATCGTTATATGAACTTAAATGTCATGTGAGCAGCCTATGTGAGCAATTCCTTCTTATACTATGATTTATCAGTTATATGAATGATTTTTGTAGGATGTTGAAGATAATTTAAAAGGAAGCAAGAAATTCTTTAAAAGCCTAGAGAATTAAAGTTACTTTCAAGAACCTGAACTATTACTGAATGCAAAAGTGAACAAAACAAAAAAAAAAATCTTATGTCCACTGGAGCTCTCCACAGCAAGCAGAAAATTCCCATGGATTTGGTCTTGAAATTTCTATAGTAAGCATCTCAGATCTGACAGTTTACTAACTGCTGACCATTTTTACTGAATGATAAAAGAATAAGCAAATGGATAATACTGGAAAGAAACCAGGTATATTTCTCCAGTGACTTCAAAATTGTACATAGAAACTTAAAGGATTTGAGAGGATATCAGTGACTTTAATCCTTTATGGTATTTTAACTTTGGAAAAGAAGATATAGAAAGTGAATAGCTGATTATATAAATTATAGTCATGAAATGGGCTTTTGTTTTTTTAATCATGGCTAACATGCCTGGAATAATAGACTTCTGACAGTGAGTAGGAACACCAATTTATAAAGAAGATTCTATGTCCTAACCAAGACTTCAGGTAAAAGTAATTTTAGATACAAGGGTAGCTGAGGTATTTATAACACATTTTACTGTCAGAGATGAATGCTAATCTTGTCAGGTGTTCTTCAAAAGAGGGGTAGATGTTGCACTAATTGCCCAGTAATTCACAATCAATAATCAGAAAAAGGGGGTGAGTGGGAGCTGGTATATGCTTTTGTTAGGTAGTTAAACATGAACAGGGTGAATGGTGGATGGGGTGAGGCTACTTTGGACTGGCGTAGGTCCGACTGGCCAGAGTTGTTTTGGAAATGGGGCTAATCAAGACCTCTCAGGTGGGCTGATTTGTAGAAGGAGTTGTTGGGGGGGGGTTGCTGATTAAAGTCCCTGGAACTTTCAGACATAGACAGACAGATAAGAGTCATTATGGGAACATGTGGTGGGAGCAAAGTCGATCAAGACCTTGGGAACTTCCGAGAAGCAGCTGATAAAGTTGTGTATCTCATCCAGCACTGCCCTCTCCGTGATGCCGGTGGTCACTAGGATGGGTTCAGTCTGCTGTCCAAACTGTTAAAAGAAACCTTTCCTTTCTTGCTAAAACTTTACATGCTCTTGCTCTCTTCAGTTATTTTGGCAACTACCTCGAACTATCATGGTGCTGCCCTAACACATTACCCAAATGAAAGAGAAAGGAAAGTGAGTGAAAGACATCATGCAGTTCTGTGGCTGAACGGATCACATCCTCTAGTCCAGGGGTTCTCAACCTTCCTAATGCTGCGGCCCTTTAATACAGTTCCTGGGGGTTGCGACCCACAGCTTCAGAACTGCTGCTCTAGTCCAAACATTTCACAACTTAAGAAACTGAGGATTAGAGAAATCATATACCAGTGTGGCAATCAGAAACTGGAAGGAGTAAGTACGATTCCAGGATATCCTTCCTTTTTATATACTATTGAGCACTGGAAG